AATGAATGAATGGAATTCCAAAATCTCTGTAGATGTTCATTGAAATAAAAAATAAACAAACCAAATTAATAAAAAAAAGACTGGCCAGAATGCTATTTTATATTGGGTGGCCAAATGGCATTTGAACAGAAACCTGAAACAATTGCCAAAATGACTTACAAGATATGTGGAGTAGGTATGTTCCAACTCATCATTATAAGACTCCGAAAACAAGGGAAGAGACTCCAAAGCTAGAGAGTCTGTGTGTCCTGGAGGCTTATTGTGGCTGCCATGAAGAGGGGCAGAGGACACATCAGAGGGACGCTGAGAAGAGTTTTGAGCAGGAGATACGAGTACTGAGTTCTCAAAGAGTTAATTCACCCTGCTGTATGAAGACCTGAGGAAAGTAGGGAGTCAGAAATGCTATCTTGGTGTGGGTCCAGCAGAGCTTAAGAAGTGATCCTTTAGAAAGTCTCATTCATCAATTTTATCGTCTTCATATACAGACTGGGAACAAACATTTGGTAATATCACCTCAGACAAGAGTATTATAACAAAAGTTTATAGACTACTCCTGGGCCTCCACAAGAAAAAAATTGATAACCCAATTATAAAATGGGCAAAAGACATGGAAAGAATTTTCACAGAGGAAGATATTTGAATGGCCAACAGACACATGAAGAAATGCTCCAAATTACTGGCAATAAGATAGATGCAAATCAAAACCACAATGAGGTATCATCTCACTCCTAACAGTGGCAAAGTTTAACAGGGCAGCAAGAAATAGATGTTGGAGAGGATGTGGAGAGACTGGAACTCTTATACATTGTTGGTAGAACTGTAAAGTGGTACACCCACTCTCGAAGGCAGTTTGGTGCTTCCTCAAAAAGCTGAACATAGAAATTCCATATGACTCAGCTATTCCAGTACTTGGAATATACTCTGAGAAAATGAGAAACTGAGGCCCAAATGGAGATTTGTATACCAATGTCCATAGCAGCATTATTCACCATTGCAATAACATGGAAACAGCCCAAATGTCCAACCACAAATGAAAGGATTGAGAAATTATGGTACATTCACACAATGGAATACTATGCAGCATGTAGGAGCAATAACTATGTAAATTATTACCTAACTTGGGAGAGACTGAGAGCATTAAGTTGAAAGAACTAACTCAGTCTCACAAGGACAAATATTGTATAAAACCATTACTGTAGAATGAGTATAAGGATCCAAGAGGGGTGGGAGAGGTTGGAAGCAGAAGGATGAGGATGTGCAGGGAGAGGAGGGATTAATTATGAGACTGCACAATTTGTTGCGGGAGGGGGTGAGGGAAATTGAAAGAATCTGTTCTTGAAAACAATGGATTCTAAGTTTTGTAAATAAAATAGTATAAAATGAAAAAAATACCAAAACACCACAACACGAAGTGGTCCTACTTGGCTACAGCAAACTGGATACCCTCCAGGGGTGTTGGCTCTGGATTTTCAACAAGCACCAGGAGAGCTTCACCATTAGGCCAATCGGCATCACTGCTGAACAAATGGTGGCTGGTACTGGTAGGAACAAGAAGGTGTGAGCAGAGGTGCGAGGGGTAGCATGAAAGGATGGGCAGGTGGGGCAGGGCTGCAGTCCAGATCTCTGTTGGTAACTTTGTCTCATCTAACACCTCAGAGCCAAGGTATCTTTCCATGTAGGAGTGGAGTTACAAGGCCTGGTCACAGGAAAGTGATGGGGCAAAGGGAAGGCTAGCAGGGAGCACGTGTCCAAGGGTCTGGAACACTGGAATGCATAAAATCTGGAAAGCTGAGTACTGGTTGGGTTAGTGTGGCTGCAGCTGGGGAGGGCTTGGTGCTCTCATGACGCTGGGCTGTTTAGAGAAGACTCTTTCCCCCACCTTGGTCAAAAGCTCCACTCTTCTCTCTAGACTGGCTTCTTCTTCTTCTTCTTTTTTATTATTATTACTTGCTGTGTGCTGTAGAATCAGATCTGACTGGCACAGGAGGAGATTGCTCATACTGCGGGCCTTTGGGACTACAGCGCAACTTCTTGCCATTAGGCCACCAGAGCTCCCTTAGACTTGCTTATTTTGTGACCTCATGCACTTACCCAGCTAAAACTTCTCACAGATGGTGATCACTCTGAAATTCCAGCCAGTCACAGATCATGATGGGCCACAGTGCCAAAACTCTCAGACATTTTTATCCGGACTTTGGCCGACTGGTCACAGCAAATCCCAAAGGAAGCCCTGCCTTTTCTGTGACAGCATCCCTTATCCTCACCACCCTGAGCCTGCTCAAGGCACCGGCCTGTCCTTGTTCCTGAAGAGGCTTCAGAGTTGGCTTTGAGTCCCTCACTCCCAGCACAAATCAATATTGATTCACTAAAGTACTGTCAGTGACTTCTTTTCTTTCCACAATTGTTACTCTAGTTCAGAACTGTATTGGGGTTCAGTGGAAAGTTTATCTCACTTTTTAACTCCTCTAGGTACCTGGACATTGTGGAGTTGGAGCGTGCAAGTGGTTTATGCCTGACACAGAATGACACCTTGGCAGAGAGGTCTGGCAATCGAGCTCCATAAAGATCACAGCCAAGGAATCCCTCGGTGGTTCTTTCCTTAACACATGAGGTCGCCAAGGGCTGGAATTAACTCAAGGGCATAGGTTTGGCTTCTCTAGTTTTGCTTAGCTCAGTGTCCTGGCTCCATCTACCTCTCCTCCTTGTGCTCTGCACGTTGTGACTGGTGACTACACATTTGAAGTCACAGCTCTAACAATGTTCAAGATCATATCTATGCTTAAAGTCAATTGGCTCCGTCCGTGCCATTCAAGACCATCTCCTGCTTTTCATCTTTATGTGCCTGCACTGTAGGCTCCTCAGACTACTTAATATTTCATGAATGAGTCTTACGCTTCTCTTCCAAGCCTTGGTGCACAGACAGGCCTGTGCCATGGAACACTCTGTGAGTCCTCACCTCAGCCTCTAATTCCTCTACCTTTCCCTGATATGTCATAGGTAGCACTACCCAGAGAGGCTCTGGTGCGCAGAGAGCTCAGATAGCAGGCCCCAGGTACAGCCCCTATGCGAACCCTGGGCTGCTTTCCTCAGAGGCTTGCTCTTATTTGCCCTTCCTGTGGGCTTCCCTCTCCTGAGACCACTCTCTTCCACTGCTTCCTTTCAAGGTGCACAAAGTCCCTCCTTCTGCACCTCTCTTGAATCTTTTGATCTAGAAACATCCCTCCTTCTGCACCTCTCTTGAATCTTTTGATCTAGAAACATCTTGAACTCCTACTAAGAGATGCACTGATAAACAAAACGTAGTGCACGCGCAGACGATGGAATATTGAACACAAAGAGAATGGAATCCTGATAGTGCTACAGCATGAACCTTGAAAGCATGATGAGCAAAGGTGGTTAGTCACAAAAGGAAAAAAAAAACCAACACACAACAAAACACCACTTATAAGAAGAGACCACAGAAAATAGACTATTATTTATTAAAGGGCATGGAGTTTCCCTTAAAGATGAAGAAAACATCTAGAAATGGACAATGGCAATGGCTGCACAATGTCATGAATTTATGTCACTGAGTTGTACACGTAAAAAAAGTAGTGAAATAGCAGCTGTTTTATTAATATAATGGTTCCACAAATAAATAAATAAATACAGCAATTCTGGTCATCTTTGTTCTTCAAAGATCTGGGAGGAGTATCCTATCTCTAATCTTCTCAGATGGGTACTGACAAACCAGCACTTAATACCACTTAGCTGTTCTATGGTATCTGACCAGAGTCTGAGGTCTCTGAAGACTACATGGGGAGTCATGTGGCCACCCAGTCCTGCTCCAACCACAGCTTCCCTGAATCTGACTTATCAGCACAGATTCCCATTTGCTGCAAATACCCTAAGTTAGAGGAACATGCCCCAGTCCTCCAGCCCCTGTGCAGAGGCTAACTGTCTGCCCCACACAGCTCAGCACTGGGCTTACCTGGAGCCATTCATGTGGTCGTACTCCCTCTTGACGTTGACCCGTACTGGCTGGTTAATCCACTCTTGCTGCGGCGGAAGGGGGTTGATTTTGTGAGGCTGACCATAGTCGGGGTTCCCTGAGGCGGTCATGTCGGCCTTAGGGAGGTGGGTTGCTGCTCCGTAAGTGGAGTCGAAGAGGGACTGGTCGTCACTCACCACCGACAGAGCCTCCTGCAGGCCAGGGGAGAAGAGAATACCAGGGTCACTCTTCAGTCAACTGAGAGGGCAGGGTGAGCCTAGCTGTGAAGTTTGCTGGTTGACTCCATCCCCGGGATCTCATTCTCATACATAATTGATGGGGTTTCCTGGTGGTCAAGAGTGGAGGGAGGCAGTCTGGATTGTAGAGAGGAAATGAACTCCTATACAAAAGAGGGAGTTTGTTTATTGCGTCTGTAGCCCTTGGTCCCAAGAAAGATGGGGAGAGGGTAGGAGCTGTGGTCACAAAGTGCGGATGTGCAGTCAGCATGCTACTGCAGGGGAAACAGGAGCAAGCATGCAATTTATGGAAGGTCCCTGGGTGGTGTACATGGTTCAAATTTGCCTACTAACCTAAGAGGGAAGACTAGTGCCTTAGTCCACAGGGTGCTGCACTATTAACCAAAGGCCAAGCAGTGATGCAGACCCACCAGGAGCTCCAAGGGAGAAAGACAGGCATTCTCCTCCCATGTGTTTTACAGCTTTAGAAACCCCACAGAGGGTCAACCTCAGGTCAGCCCTGACTTGGTGGCAATGAGACTGACCCAAAGTGGACGGCTCAAACCACCCGGAGCATGGTAGGAGAAAATCTCCAAGATCTGCTTCTGAAAAAGAAAATGCTGAGGAGCGGTTAGAGTTGAGTTGGAACTGACTTGAGAAGAGTGGAGCTCATGCTGGTCCTGGTCATGTTTCAGTTTCCTTATCTCTAAGCAGGAGTAAAAACAACCTTCTCAGAGAGATGACAAGTGGATTAATGAGATGATGTAGCGGCTGGATATAAGAAACTTTCCACAGTTTGCTCAGACTTGCCCAGATGGCTGGAACTGCCTCTCAGTTCTACTCCTGCCGTGGATAAAGAGGCTGTCTGCCACCTTACAAATTAGGGCACTTGGACAGGTTTTCTTGCCTGATCCATTGAGATGACAGCATCCTTGATTTTGATGTGTGGAAGGGATAATTCAGAACCTCAGTTCTGTGGGAGGTTGGAATAAAAGGATGGCTCTCTGAAGGGGGACAGCTGCTCCATCCATTCTCCTACCAGCTCACCTGATACAGTTTGGGTCTTGGAGATCACAGACTGAGAAGAACAGTCTTCAACTTTCCAGAGATCTCCTCTCAATCAGAATTTGATAGTAATATTCTCCCATTAAACAAATCACATTAAATCTTAAGAATTGTAGGTCTTGATCTGGAGTGAAGCTCTCAGTACAGTCCATGCAAACCAAAATCACTGATTCATGGTGACCTCAGGGGCCCAACTGTGCTCCACAGGACTTATAATGGCAAACTTTCAAAGCAGATCACGATGGCTATCTATGGGTGGATTCAAACTTCCAACCTTTTAGTTCACTGTCAAGCATGTTAACTTCATCATGCAGTGACTCCATTCAGGGCACTCAATGCCATTGGGTAAGAACTAATTCTATAGCTAGTTGGATCCTCCATTGGGCTATCCCTCAGACTGCTAGTAGATTTAAACCCCGGAAAGGTTGAGTTAGCTGAGTAATTTAAACCAAGCCATGAGAGGTCCCCTAGGGACTCCATAGTCCATCTAATTACATCAAATTAAGTTTACCACTTTTCAGAAGAAGATGAAAGTATTACTATTATTCATTCTCTATCATTTCACAGTGATGTGCCAATTGTGGTAATGGGCACCCATGGTGGACAGTGTTGGCTGGAGCTTCCCGACTAAATCAAGCCTGGAAGCAAGAGCGGCATCCACTTCCAAAATGGCTTGCCTCCGGAAACTTTATGTACAAACAGTGCTCAGGCTGTTTGTCCATAGGGTCGCTATGAGTCGTCTACGACTCGACAGCATTAAACAACAACAACAACATCATTTCACAGGTTTATTATGAACATTAAATTAAGATACATGAAAGACGCTCAGAACCATTCTACCACCTAGTAAAGAATACTCAATACAAGTTAGCTATGACAATAGTTAGCTTTAAAGTATTCTCTTCAGTTACATCTCCTCTCCTGCAGTGTACAACCTCTGAAAATCTGCAGAGGGTTCAGCAATGCATGAGTCAGTTCTGACTTGATGACACACAACAACACCGTCACACTTATTTAAATAAGAATAATTGAACTCAACAAATTCACTGCCATCAAGCTGGAACTGACTGACAGGTTTCTGTAGGCTGTACGTCATGCTAAATCAGACTGCTCACCTTTCTTCTGAGGAGCCACTAGGGGATTCACACCCCCAGAGTGCCACTTTTGGGTTAGCAGTGTGACTTCCTACAGACTCTGCCACAGAAGGGAGTCCTGGTAGCCTCGTGATAAGGAGCTGCACTGCAATCCCAAAGGCACACAGTTTAAATCCACCAGCTTCTCCTCTTATGTGATTTACTGCATCTGAAAATCCACTGGAGGGTTTGCTGTGTGTCGGTTCCAACTCAATAACAAATAACAATGTGCTGCAAGAGCCTCCTAAATGAATGAACAGCACCAGTGAAAACCTTTGATTTGTCTATGTCCCTTGTAAAATTAATATTCTTGCCTGAATGTCCCTCCATACACTTGTAACACACTCTAGTCAGTCCCACAACCACTGATCCCTCTCCCCAGCCATTCTCAGCCTCAGCAGACAAGTATGCCAGATTTCTAAGAGGAAGGCTTTTCTCCAGCTGCTTTCAGCTGGAATCAAGGAGGAAGCTCTAGAACATGCCCCAGGAAGTCGGCTCTTGCATCAATGGACTCTGGAGTGTAGACAGCAAATTAAGAACTGATCCTCCCTCCACCATGATCTGGAAAATCTCACATACTCAAACAGGAGAATGTTCCTAGATATGAACCTGCAATGTACCAGGATCCTTCTCATTCCCCTCCCACCCCTCCAATCTTGTAAAGTTCAAAAAGAAGCTGGGCTTCTCTGAACCACTTTGGGTTCAGGTCTGGCTCCATGTTCCAGTCAAGTACTGAACTCTCTCCAATACATAAAGTTACAAGTGTGAAGATCTTCCTGAGATGATGTAATTCCTCAAAATCTACACCAAGAGCACAGACAGACTGAATTCTGTGCTCCCAAAGTATGTGCTATAAATAACACTTCTTTGCTTGTGGTTATAATCCCATCTGTGAATGGATTGTCTTTGTTATGTTTATGAGTGTGAATTAGCATAAGGTTTATCTTGAATTCTTTTCTTTTGAGATGTGAAAGAGATTTAAGCAAGCAGCCAAGCAGATACAGATACCATGAAGGTCTCCAGAGAAGCAGCAAACAGAAACTGAAGCAGCAAGAACCTCCCTCCCAGCAGAGCATCCAGAGAGCTGGCACTCTTAGTTCAGATCTCTAGTCTCCCAAACTGTGAGCCAACCAATTCCTGCTCATTACGTTCATCCACTTGTGCTATTTCAGTTATAGCAGCACTAGCTAATTCAAACAGGGCACAAGGGCACACTGCCACCTACATCTATCACTGCCCTTTTGGTGATAAAGATGAAAAACTCTTTTCAGGTAAGCTTCAGGGAAGAGACTACATCTTAAGTACTCAGATATAATCTCCAGCACTAGAGAGTAAGTCTTCGTTTATCATATTTGAAACTTGATGTTTCTGCTTAAAAAACAAAACAAAACAAAACAAAAAACTTACACCTTGTGTCCTGTAGGTTAGAGTTGAAGAATGGTCTGGGGAAAGAGAAAGCCATCAAGACAAAGCAGGACCACCAAGTCCAAAGGAAGGAGCAGGTGGCAAAACCATGGTTCCCAAGCAAGAATCACAACCCTAGACAGCCCAAATGTCCAACCACAAACAAATGGATTGAGAAATTATGGTACATTCACACAATGGAATACTACATAGCACACAGGAGCAATGATTTTTTAAATTATTACCTAACTTGAGAGGAACTGGAGAGCATTATGCTGAGTGAACTCGGTCCCACAAGAACAAATACTATATAAAACCGTTACTGTAGAACGAGTATATGGATCCAAGCGTGGGGGGCGGGGGGTGGAGGTTGGAAGCAGAGGGATGAGGATGGCCTGGGGCAGAGTTATACAATTTGATGGGTGGGGGTTGAGGGAAATTGGAAGAACCTGTTTTCTATATCAATGTATTCAAATTCTGTAAATGAATTAGTATTTTAAAAGAAAACCAAGCAAAAATCGATGATTCCCAGCAAAGAACTGCTGCAGTAAATGGGCAACACAAGGCAGGGTTCAGTCTTAAGGAAACAGATGGTACAAAGTGAAAGAAAACTCAGAGTGTAAGGACTGGAAAGGGTATTAAGCTGATTAGACTGAGCATAGAATAAAACTTTCTTTTGTTAGTATACAATAGAAAAAAAAACCCTCACATTAATTGTTATTGTTGTTATGTGCTGTCAAGTCACCTGCGACTCATAGCTACCCATGTACAACAGCCCTAACCCCTGCTCTATCCTGTGCCAATCTTACTGTCTCTTCTGACACACTTACCCCCATTACACCCGTCACTGAATCAATCATCTTCTCAAAGTCTTTCTCTCTTGCACTTTCACTCCACCTGTCCAAAGTTTGTCAGATGAAGCTTCAGAAACCTTGCCTCCAAGGAGCAGCCTGGTCTTACCCTCTCTAGGATAAATTTGTTTGTGCTCCTGGCAGTCCATAGTATATTCAACACTCTTCTCCATCACCACAGCACAAAGGCATCAATTATCTTTCTATAATCCTTAGTCACTGTCCAGCTTTCTGATTCATAGCAAGTAACTGCAAAGACTATGGCCTGGATCAGGCATACTTTAGTATCCAGACTGATGTCCTTGGTCTTCAGTACTTTGGAAAGGTCTCTGACAGTAGACTTTCCTAATGCAATTAATTAGCAACATCAAAATAGGCAAGTACACTGACTTCCTTCAGACCCCTCAAACCTTCACCTCTGTATCAAGGGTTCCAGCTAGAAGCTGAGAACTTTTACTTTTAGACTCTTTATTCATTAACAACAGACTTGCACACTCTTCCCACATTGAGTCCAACCAGTCAG